AGTGTTCCTTGTGCATCTTTTTAATTCTCTTTCTTAATTATACAAATATTTGATCGTGTATAATTGACATTCTGTGTTGTGCACATTCACTGTTGAAGTCTTGGGGTCTGACCTGCTCTTTGCTGTTTGTTCTGACTCATTAACACTGGTTATGTGCTTGTGAGTTCTGTTAGTTTGAATCCTGAGTTCCTATTGGCTGGGACTTGCTAGAGAAAACGTGGAAACTGAGTGGGCGTGTGATTCCCCAAGAGTTATATTTTCTCCTCCCGGCCTCCTGGGGCCAATTCAAGTTAATTCCGAAGAATAGGTCTTAACATCTTTTCACTAGGTCACATAGGTGTGAGTCTGAGCCCCGATCTCACCTGACAGGTGGGTGTGGGTTTTCAAGAAAGATTTTTTCTTGTTGCTGATGCCAACCCTGGACAGACCAGTGCTCACTCGTTTCCCTTTGCTGATGGCAAATCCCTTTTTCTTGTTCAGTCTGTCAGTGATGGGAAGAGAGATCTCCTCTTAACTTCTGATCTTCCTGAGTCCAGAACCCTGCGCTGCAGGTCTCTTCAGGACCCAGGGGTTCAGTTTGGGGAGCAGTGAACAACCTCAGGGCAGCCTCTCCCTGGGACAATGAGAAAAATCAATGAAATAGGTTGAATAATAAAGGAATGAAATATTCCAATCAATCATGAGTTAGTAATACTAATTACTTAAGTTAAGAATGTGTGTGTGTGTGCGCACGCGCCTGGCTAGCGTGGCTCAGTAGTTGAGCATTGACCTATGAACCAAGGGGTCACAGTTCAATTCCAGTCAGGGCACATGCCCAGGTTGCAGGCTCAATCCCCAGTGGGGAGTGTGCAGGAGGCAGAAGATCAAGGATCCTCTCTCATTATTGTCTAGAGGCCTGGTGTATAAAATTCATACACTTGGGGAGTCCCTCAGTCTGGTCTGAGCCCTCTTGCAGTCTGGGAGCCCTTGGGGGATAATGCCCTGCTGGCTTAGGCCTGCTCCTGGGTGGGAGAGGGCAGGCCCAATTCCTAGGTGCAGCCCTTGGTCGGGCTCAGAGCAGGGCCGAGTCGGGAGTTGGGGCGCCGCCTGCCGCTGCGCTCACCAGCCATGAGCGCAACTTCTGGCTGAGCAGTGCTCCCCCTGTGGGAGCACACTGACCACCAGGGGACAGCTCCTGCATTGAGCATCTGCCCCCTGGTGGTCAGTGCACAGCATAGCAACTGGTCGTTCCACCGTTTGGTCAATTTGCATATTAGCCTTTTATTATATAGGATGTTTCTATCTCTTTCTCACTCTCTTTTACTCTCTGAAATCAATTGAAAAAATATATGTATAGTTTTAAAAAGCATGTGTGTGTGTGTGTGTGTGTGTGTGTGTGAATGCCTGTATATGTATGTATTTGGGAAATTCTTTGAATATGAATTTGTTCCTTTTGTTGTATCAAGGATTTCATAGATAATTTTGTATTCAACTGATGACACTCAAAAGAGTCAAAGACTTAAAAAGCAACCATATTT